TAATGTACAAGGATTAGACTTGTTATCAGTGTTGCGGAATGCCACCTGTCCCCGCTCAATATCCAGGTGTTCTCAAAGGACCAGTGATTCTCTCTCAGGCGGGTACTCGTTGAGGTCAGTGCTTCATATTCATCCCCAATTCTCAGTCACAATCGAAGATTGAATCTTGTTGTGAACTGTCACACAACGGGACAGGTATGAGCCCAAAATTTCTTCATTTGATCGACAGCGAGAAACATTGGTGCTCAGGCAGCAAGAAGAACGATTTAGGAAGACTTTAAAAAAACTGACACCCATCAAATCAATTTAATTTTTCATAGTACGGAACAATAACTTTGCAAATTCGTGAAAGAAAATTGTTTTAAGTTGATTAAAAATTTATATTAGTATAACGCATATCAATTTGAGAGGTGAAGGCAAATTCTCACCGTATTCATCAACTTGGGGATCAGAGCTGAATGGGGTGATTTGGGGAAAGATGATCCCTGGTGAGGGCAAAGATATAGGTCTTGGGACAGACTTGAATAAGTTAAACCAGGGTGTCAGACAAAACAACTGCGAAATGGAGATACAGAATTTGTCCAGAATGGCTGAAAGCCCCATGGTGTGTGTAATGCGAGGTATTTCAAGCTGCCTGGCAATGTTGGAGGGTAGAGAGTGCATTCTTGCTTGTGGAGTCCTGAAGCTCAGTGTTCAGAGAACTCGCCTTGCAAGCGAGACACCTGGGTTCAATTCAAGGCTGGGCGAAACCTTGGGCAAGTTTGATTACTCCACACGCCACATAATAATCCCTCCAAAACAAAACAATAATAAATCGATCATCTTCAAATTACGACTGTTTGTGGGACGCTTCTGTTGGCAATTGGCTTCCGCTTTTCGCCCACAAATACACAGTTAATTCATTTTATAGTCTAATCTGTGAAACGCTTTGAGACGTAGAGAAGACATGGAAAGCGCTGCATCAAATGCAAGGATTATTATTATTATTATCTGGATGTGACAGAAGTAGGGTGTTGGCGAAACTTTGAAACTGATGGACCGGGGCATGGACAGCCAATGGAGGACATTTAGAAAGTGGGTTAATGGCCCTTCGTGTATTTTGTACAGAACACTGTCCAGCGGACACGGCTTGCGGTTGCAGGGGCTCAACTCAGGACAGATCAACGCGAAAGACTATTTCAGTCAGCGAATAGCGAACATGTGGAACAGGCTCCCTAGGGAAATGGTTGAAGCAGGAAGTGTTGATTCTTTGAAACACATATCAGGTCGTTTTATTTTAGGAAATAACACAATGTGATATGGCATACAGGAGTTCGGGACATATGTGCATGTGACCACCTGGAATGTGGAAGGCGAAACATATGGATCTTGATCTTTTTCCATCAAGAATTTCTGATATCATTCTGTTCTGAAAACACATGAGTTACCGAGATATTGATGTTTGGCCGGTTGTGCAGGGCTGAGCTTGGGAAGGTCTCATTCAGAACGTTAGTGCTTTCAAGCCGATGCTGTGTACACAACAAATACATCAGGCAATTACACAGCGCCTCTCACATAATGGAGCATTTCAAAGCGTGAGACAGTGGTGGAGCACGTCAAAGCCCTCCATGGCCTCGCCCAACCGACGTCTGCCACCTCCTGAAACCAATACCAACCCGCCCATTCCCTATGTTCAGCCGGCTTTGGCCTGCTCCACTTCCCAGGGCAGATCCTCCCCACCATTGCCGATGAACTTTCAGCCACACTGCCCACAACCGCTGGAATTCCATTCCCCAATCATTCGCCTGTCAACGTCTTTAGACTGCTTCAAGTCCCGCCTCAAAATCCTCCTCTCCTTCCATGACATTGGCCACCCTACTTCCGCTCCTTTCCCTTCTCCCTCCCTGATCCCAGCTCATCTTTGAAATGCTTTCACTGTCCAGCGCCTTTTGACGTCCTCCTGGCGTGAAATATAATCTTACAAATGTAGACTTCTTGTTGTTGTTCCTGTGATTTTCTCCCCTCTCAGCCACTGCTTGATCATCTCAACAAGTTGCTGGTCAGAGAGTCTGTTCCTCTCTCTGCCCTCCTCACTGCTCCCCAACTCTTAGCATTCACACACCTAAAAGCGAGTAACCTGACTGCAGCTCCTGCCTTACGACTTGCACCAGATCTCACGAGACACAACTTTTATTTCAACGATTATACCGGACTTGAAGATGAAACCAGCCGTTCCTGTTAGTGGAATACAGTGAAATACATCATTAATTTAAAGGTAAAATCACCTGGAAAACAATTTGGGTTACTTACCTGTTTCTTTTCTACAATAAACAGCAGAATCTTCACAATTAAAAGTAAGTGAAATGTGTGTCCGGTAGATGATGTCCAGAGTCTAATCCTGCTTTCGGTTTCTGTGGGACTCACATTATGGACACAGGCAGGGAACTAGGAGACCAAATATTCCCCACAAGATCGACTGGGGAACAGTCCTGTGATCCTGACTGTTAGTATTGACTGATGTTCATCACTTGCTGTCAGTCACAAAACATTCCTGCACTGAGACCCTCTGGTTCCACCCTTACCTTCCCTGGAATATCCTCAATACCACAACCAACGCTGCACAGGACTGACGCCCAGGTTGATGTGTAACAGACATGTGTGTGTTACAGGAGATTGCTGGTGTGGGGCCAGAACCAGGTGAGCTGTAAATGTGACCAAGGATCTTGAAGAGGTCCGGCTGGTGAATTGGGGTCCGTGGAGTTGAGCTGGAGGGGGATGGGAAGCAATGGTTGGAGAAGAATGGGAGGGGACTGGACGGGAAGCGATGGGAAGGGATCGGATGGAATGCGATAGGTAGCGAGTGGATGGGAGGGTAGGGAGCGGAATGGGAGGGAATGGGATGGGATCGGAAAGAGGGGGTGGGAAGGGAGGGGATGGAATGGGATGGAGATGATGGGAGGGAATCGAATGGGAGGGAATGAAATGGGATGTGATGGAATGGATGGGAGGCGATGGGATTACAGGGTGACCGGGGTATGGAGTGGGAAGCAACATGGATTCAGGTCTTCACTGCGCTGGGAACTCGATTTCAAAGCACTTCACGACATCGCATCCCCCAACATCTCCGAGCTTCTCCCCTATCCCCGCCACTCCAACTCCCGCTGCCCCTGCTCAGCAATCCCCGGCCTCCTATGTGTAACCCGTTAGTTAGTGAGGTAGTTATTTAGTTAGTTAGTTAGATTTTTACTTGTTACTTATTTAGTTACTTGCTTACATACTCACATTCATTCTTACTTACGTACTTACATGCTTACTTACTGACTGACTTAGTTAGTTCGTTATGGCTTTGGCTCAGGGTTTCCAGGAGCTGAGGGGGAGGATTCCCTGACCCCAGTGATGTTTGGCCCTTCCAGGTCCTGCCGATGAACCAGGCCGGCTGTGCTGCCACCAGCAGTAAGTACCCTGGGATACTGTGGACCCACTGACTCAGGAACCAGGAATAGAAACCGTCACAGAGACCTGGCTCCATTCCCACACTGTTTGCCAAGCTGCAAGTCACGTCCAGTGAGTCCCTTTCCACCTGACCTCAAGCAGGAGAAGGGATTTTGCTCAGATCATTGGGAGATGGAACACAGTACAGTGAGGTGGTACAGCAGTTTGATATTTCTTTCTTTGAACACACGGTAACACACAGTAAACAACTATATTGCTCAGATACACAGCAGCCGTCAGAAGAGATTTTACAATGTATAATTTATGTGATGACAATATTCTTGAGTGTTGGTCAAAGGTTGCTTTGTTAACAAGGTAAGGAGAGCAATAAATGTTAATAATTATTTCATTAAACTGGTAGTTATCGTGATTGTAGCACAGCTAAAAGCTGTTTGCTGACTTACTGGAAACAAGGTGTCGTCTGGTTTATCTCCTGTTTTGTCAGAATTTCTCAGCTCGTCCTGATTTATTGTGTATCAGCAATAGGAGAAGCTGTTCTGTGGAGCTGCGTCGTTTATACCAAACATGTCACCTTGGGGCCAGGTCAGCTCCAAGAAGATCCTCCCACACTCAGTGAGAAAAGGCACATTCAAAACAAATTGTTTGTGACAGGCGAGAGGGAGGGAGGAAAGTGAAGGGATTAAAGACAAGATTACTGGAGCTGGTAGGAAATTGGCTGAACGTTCTCCAGTAAATCTGGGGAGAGAATAGGAACTTAGAGTTAGACGAGAAATGGAGGGGTTGGGGGTTGTAGGAAGCCAGCAGACAGAGAGTTTTGAAGTGTGGGGTGGGGGTTGGGAGGGTGTGGGGGTGGTCAAGGGAAAAGAGACAATTGAATGTCAGTACTGAGAAAGTAAAGCAAAAATATAATTCTTCTCAAATATCACTGTGGATCCTGGTTGGTTGCGGAAGGATTGGGGAGCGTGTCGCGTGGCGGAAGGGTAGATTTTGTTGGGGGAAGGTGAGATTGTGTGGTGGGAGCTGGGAATATGTGTAAGGGGAGGGGAGATTGTGTGTGCTGAGGGTAAATTGCGAGGTGAGGGAGGAAATTGTGTGGGCTGAGGCGAGATTGTGTGAGGGGAGATTGTGTGTGTGGAGCGGTGAGATTGTGTGTAGGAACGAGGGAGATTCTGTGAGTGGAGATTGCATGAGGAGAGGGGAGATATTGTGTGTGGGGAAGAGGGAGATTGTGTGACGGGAGATTGTGTGCGGATGGGAGAGATTTTGAGGGCGGAGGGGTAATGAACGGGGATCGTTGAGGCAGACGTGGGAATGGGGAGATCTTCAGAAAGTTTTGATTAATTAGAAGGTATTAATCAGGAGAGTAAATGCCCAGGATGCCCCTCCTTTACAGGGAATGTCCAAGTGTTCAGGAGAAGTATCCGGATTATTGCTCTCTGTGTCTATTCCTGGTTCCATATTTACTGGGATTCTAATCTTCGCCTTTTGACTCTACGCCCACATTGGACCTGTTCTCTGGTGAACTTTGGTCCATTTCTACATCAAATATTTCCATCGTCCAAACCTTGGGCGTTATTCACAATCCTGGCTCCTCACGTGAAACCGTGTGAATCAGAGTGAAGTGAACACTGTCACAGGGTGGGGGACACACAGCATAAAAACACTGAGACTGAAGCAGTTTGGAACGGAAAGACTCCGGGTGATCAGGGCTTCTAGACATCATGTCCAGCGTCTGCCCGATGAGCTAAACTGCGCCAGTAGTCTGGAATTCTTTAAGAATCCTTTTTGCCTCGATTGTGGCCACACATATTGTCGCCCCTGTATCACCCGGAGTTGGGAAGAGCAGGGAAAATCCTGCTGTGCGGAATATCGCCAAGTTATTGCTCAGAAGAATCTCAAGCTTAATCGGTCCTTGGCCAAAATGGTGGAGAAAGCTCGAGAATTTAGTCTGGACCCCACACAGACAGCGGTTAAACGTCAGTGTGAGGAACACCGGGAGCAATTGAAGCTGTTCTGCGAAACTGACAAGAAATTGATCTGTTCCATTTGCAAAGATGTGAAAAAACACCGAGGTCACAGCTTCCTTCCCATTGACGAAGCTGCTGAAATCCACAAGGTAATGATGCATTCACTAGTAATTCATTCTATTGCCCCGTCATGTATTCACCTCAATCTTTCCTTCTTTGCGTTTATTCCAGGATCAAGTGAAATCCTCCTTAGCATCTCTCACACAGTTGAAGGAAACTGCTCTGCAAACCGAAGCCCAACAGAGAGAAAATATTTCAAAAGTTAAGGTGAGTTGTGTCGGGGCTGAAGGCTGGGCTGTCAGTGTGTCTCTGGTCACTGTATGTAAACGGTGTGATATATCTGTGTCTCTGGTCACTGTGTGTACATGGTGTGATGTCTCAGTGTCTCTGGTTAATGTGTATACATGGTTGGATGTCTGACATTTGCAGGAACAGGTGAACAGTTTACAGACCCACGTCACGGCTGAGTTTTCTAAAATGCACCAGAGACTGACTGACAGAGAGCAGCGAGTGATGCGAGATCTCAGACAACGAGAGGAGGAGATTTTAAACCAAATGGAGAAAAAGCTGCGAGAGATTCATTGTAAATTAAGTTCTGTTGAACAAGCTCTCTCCGAGTTAAAGACACAGATGGGAAAAGATTCCCTCACCTTCCTGCAGGTAAAGAGATAAAATTATAATGTATTTGAGTCACAGTGACATACAATCTGGAGCACACAATCTAATTCTGATTGATCAAGAGATCGGAGATTGAATTGGGATGTGAGAGACTCTTTCCACATGTAATTTGTTGTTTTTGGTGATTCTTCAGTGTGGGATGACATCTTCCTGTGTTTGATTTCATTAGGAAGAAGCTGCTGGCAACAGAAGGTATGAAATGATCTTCAACAATTATTCCAGAATTAAACCCACAAACCAACCACAAGGTGCAGTTTCGCTTTATAATGAGATCGTTTGTTCTTTCAGAGTCAGTGACGTGGGGTTTGATCTGTCGGTGTGTGAGGCTGAGCTGCCGGTGGGGATATACAAAGGGCCTATACAGTACACAGCCTGGAGACAAATGATACACGGCATCAGCCCAGGTAAATGTCTCCATTCTCACCCTGAAGCCCTGTCAATTGCATTAGATTCACTGATACATCCCCCCACACTCTCCCTCAGACACACACACCCCCAGTACACACACACACACCCTCACGCTCACACACAGCGCTCAATCACAGACAACGGTCTCACAAACACAGCTGACACACAAACAACCCGAATGCACAACACCCTCAGTCACGCAACTCACACACTTCCAACCCTCACACATGTCACAGACACAACTCTCACACACTCGCCTCGTTCACAACTCACAAACGCACATGAACAACATACCTCAGACACATAGGTCACACACACCACTCACAAACACCAAACACATTAAGCTTCACACACACACACCTCTCACACACATACACCCCTCAAACTCTCACACCCCTCAAGCACTCATCTCTTACACACACCTCACTCACACTCATCACACACATATCAACCAGGCACAGAACTCGTACAGAGCCCTCACACACACAAATCGGAAAAACTTCTCAAACAATATTACCAATAATAATTGCTTTTGATTTTGCGTTTTTCACATTTTCTCGGCGTCTCAAAGCGCTTTACGGAATAAACTGTAAAGTGAATTGACTGTATATTTTGTGGGTGAAACGCCGCAGCCAATTGCGCAGAGCAGCGTCCCAGAAACAAACCCACAAACAATCTTGGATTCAAGTTAGCAAATTTTTATTGTTTTAACAAGACCATTTGTACTTGGCCACAGGCAGCTCAGCCTCACACAATGACAGATGAAACCCCATAACGAAACCTCATACGCATCACTCAAGTAAACACCTCTCACGTACACACTGCGTACATTACACACTTCTTTCACACACCTCTTGCACACGCATCACTCATACACACCTCGTACAGACAGCCCTCACACACGCACATCTCACATGCACCAATTATACACTTAACCCTCAAACACACCTCACATGCACCTTTCTCACACAAACATCTCACTCACACTGTCCTCCCACACACACATCACACAGATACCTCACTCAAACACCCGTCAAACACACACCACATGAACCTATTACACACACATCTCTCACATGTAGACTCTCAAACACACCTTGCACAAATCTCCGAAAACCTACTATTCACACACACCAGACAGGCACAAACATCTCACAAACACACATCTCACACACACTTTTCAGACACGCACCACACACACACATCACACGCACACCTCTCACGCACATCGCAAACACCCCACAAAAACACGCCTCATACACACACTCCTCTCAAACACACCTCTCACTCACGCCTCACATACTCTCCTCACACAAATGCCTTTAAACAGAGAACACTCACAACATCCTTCGCACACTGCTCACATACACGCCTCACAAACAAACAACTCACACACACCTGATGCACAAACACCTTACACACACCACTCACGCACTCCGCTGACACACAGGCTCCTCACACACATACTCCCCTCACCCATATACATTCAGACGTGAAACTCCCCCGCCCACCCCACCACACACACACACACTAGCACAGACTGTGACCCACTGAGATGGTTGTGTTCCCAGATGTGGAGGTGTTCATACACAGTATGAGCTCCGCAACGTCCCCTCATTCCACTTAGTGATATTTCTCTCTCTCAGCTCCGGCCTCTCTGACTATGGATCCTGACACAGCCCATCCCAACCTCATCCTGTCTGAGGACCTGACCAGCGTGAGACACGGAGAAACACGGCAGCAGCTCCCGGACTCCCCAAAGAGGTTTGATCCCTGTGTCTGTGTCCTGGGGTCTGAGGGCTTCAAATCAGGGAGACATTACTGGGAGGTGCAGTTGGCCAACAAGACAGAATGGACAGTGGGATTGGCCCGAGAGTCTGTCAACAGGAAAGGAAAGATCACACTGTCAACAAAGATCGGATTCTGGGCTGTGTATCTGAGAAACGGGGATGTATATAAAGCTTGTACCTCACCTCGCACACGCCTGTCCCTGAGAGAGAGACCCGGGAAGCTGGGAGTTTACCTGGACTATGAGCGGGGAGAGGTGGAATTTTACAACGCTGATAACATGTCTCATCTCCACACTTTCACCCAGACTTTCACTGAGAAACTTTATCCTTACTTCAGTCCCGGTTTCAATGACGGCGGCAAAAAGTGTGATCCTCTGAGGATCTGCACGGTGACAGATTAATGAGGAGGAAACCCTCAGCCATGACGTGCAGCACCGCCCTCTGGTACTGGAGGCATTCATTCGTAATTTGAACCCAGAGTAAATCACAGCAAATGAATATTTCCCTCAAATCCACAACAGCCACCAGGAGAGATGGAGAAGCAGTGAATTGCTGTCTGTGTCTGACCGCTCTCCAGCATTAGATGGTGATAACCAGACCCAGGTACTGACGAGCACATTTAATGTCATGGGATTCAATGGGAAATTGTTTATTGACATAAACGCATGGAAATAAATGAAAATGCATTCGCCAATTATAAGGCAACACTGAGCAGAAGCTCCAAGTCGTGATCATCCGTGAAGCAGGATAAATAAATGCAGTTTGTTTGATTGTGGTTGAAAAAGTATGAATTTTCACATTGTATTTTGTTGGGGCTGTAATACCGCGGGCAGCCACTGGGCGATGGTGTTGCATGGCGAACAAACTCCGAATCTCTGTCTGTCCAGCGGCCCGGGACGTCCTCCCGACATGACAGGCTTTTACGCCACGTTATGCTGTTGTTGTCTTTCTTTCTCAAGCACACACACTCTCTCTCTCTCTATCTCGGTCTCACTTCTTCTCGCTCAAAGTCTCTCTCACGCTCTCTCACTCTCAATCTCTTTCTCTCTCTCCCTCTCTGACACAATCTCTCTCTCACACACACTTTATTTCCATTGTAGACCGACAGAGTGAGTGTGAGACAGAGACAGTAAAGGAGTGAGAGTCTCTGTGTCAGCGAAGGGCCTGGGCGGCCATCTTGGTAAAGGGCGTCGGATGGGGGCCGATTGTAGCGGCCATCTTGGGAAAGGCGATGAGAGCTGATCGTTTCCGTCATGTGTGTGACGTACGCAGTCTGGCGGCGGCCATCTTGGTAAAGGCGGCGGGAGACAGACAGTGACGTCACGTGCCAGACGAAGGGGCACACTCTCGAGCCGGCGAGAAGAGGGGACGGGCGGGAAACCCGGGTAAACCGAGCGGGAGTCGGGGGCGGCGAGGGGCGAGGGTTTCATTGACAAAAGGCGGGAGCGGGAGGCCGCGGACGGGCACCGACCGGACGAGAGATGGTCAAGTCTCCGCCTGGTCACCGGAAGTCAAGGCCACGGGGCGTACAGCGCGCGGCGGCGACCACGAGAGGCCTCAGGACCCGCGGCGCCATTTCATATTCCCTCAATAAAGGCCGAGTCTCGCCCTTTCTGACGCCACTTCCGGGTGCCAGTTTTGAAAGCCGCCCATGCCGGGTGAGCAGTGTGACGTCACTTCCTGGCGACGGTTTCAAAACCGCCAGTGTGGGGAAAGTCCCGCCATTATCCTTCTGCTGCCTTGTCCTCCCTCCCCTCCCGCTCTCTGGCACCTCAGCGATAAATGCCGGTGCAATTCAGCAGGTGTGGTGACTGGATTTGGGGATGAAACCTCCTCACTCCATGCTCTGACTCCGGTTATGTTAGAGCGGCTGAGGTGAGGAGAGTGTGGTGGGGTTTGAAGGGGCGCTTGTGGTGGTTGAGGGGAAGATGGGGGTTGAGGAGGCGATGAGGTGTTTGGGTGAGGAAGGAGACAGATTATCAGACAAGTAGCAGGTGCAGTGACGGGGTTTTGCGTTGAATCTCCTTTTGTTGTGTCAGATTGTGGAGGGGAGTGCGAGTGTTTGGTGGGAGGAGGCGTTTGATGGGGAGACTGAAAGGGATGAGTGCTTCGAGAGAGACAGACGGACAGACAGAAAATTAGCAGTTGTGTTGAATGGCTTTGTGGCTGAAATTTTTTATGTTGTGTTACAGGCGTTTGGGGGGCGTGGGAGAGGGGGATTAGAGTGTGAGGGTGGGGACAGGGATCGGCGCAGGTGTTTTCCATGGAGATTTTTTTTCTAGGAGTTTGCGGAGAGACAGAAGGACAGAAACACATCAGATGTAATGATTGGCTTTGGCGCTGAATCAGGAGATCAACAGCTCAGAGAGAAAAGGTCAGGAGTTCGTGTGAAGCCGGACTCCTGCCCCATTATCATCTGGAGACGGAGATCAGTACCAATGATTGAGTCAGGTCATCAGCACCGTGTGAGCCTGTGTCTGTGCCCCACTGTGGGTCTGTGTGTGTCTGTGAACCACAGCGAGGAATAACAGTGCAGCACGTGTGGTTGTGTTGTAGGCCTTCAAGCTTTTCCTATCTGCCTGGACTTGGGGGCATTGTAAATTTCCCCCCATTCAGTGTGTGAATATTGTAAATATTGGGGAACCAGGAAACTGGAGATCAAATGCCCTGACAGATGCTTCTCACATTGCGCTGCTCCACTAACACGCTTTGAAATGCCACCGTATGTGAGAGTCGCTGTGTAATTGCAAGATGTATTTGTTGTGTACAAAACATCGGCTTGACAGCACTAAGGCTCTGATTGTGAGCTTCCAAAGCTCTGCCCTGCACAACCGGCCAAGCATCAAGATCTCGCTAACTCATGTGTTTTAAGAACAGAATAATATCCGAAATGCTGAATGGAAAAAGATCAAGATCCATCTAGTTCGCCTTCCACTTGCCATGCGGTCGCATGCACATATGTCCGGAACTCCTGTGTGCTATATCCCATAGTGTTATTTTCCCAAATAAAACAATTTAATCTGTGTTTCAAAGAATCAACAACTCCTGCTTCAACCGTCTCCCTCGGGAGCCTGTTGCACAAGTTCGCTATTCGCAGACTGACATAGTGTTTGCGTAGCTTGGTGCTGAATTGAGCCGTCGATCCGCGAGCCGTGTCCGCTGGATTCCCTGTGCACATACACACGACCAGCCAGTAAACCACTATCTAACAGTCCCTCCCTTGCCTCTCCATGCCCCGGTCCATAAGGATCAAAGTCTCGCCAACGCCCTACTTCTGTCACATCCAGATAATAAAAATCATAAAGATAATAATCCTTGCATTTGATATATCGCTTTTCACGTCTTTTCGAAGTGTCAAATCTCTTCACAGATTGGACTGTAAAGTGAATTAACTCTATATTTGTGGGCGAATAGGTGTAGCCAGTTGCGCACAGAAGCGTCCCACCAACAGTCGTGGATTGAAGGTGACCAAGTTATTAATGTTTTATTTTGGAGGGATTATTATGTGACGTGTGGAGTAATGAAACTTACCCAAAGTTTCGCCCTGCCTGGTATTGAACCCAGGTGTCTTGCTTGCATGGCGAGTACTCTAACAACTGAGCTACAGGGGTCCACAAACAAGAACGTACTCTCTACACTCCAACATTACCAGTCTGCTTGAAATACCTCACACGACACTCATCATGGGGCTTTCAGCCATTCTGGACACACTCTGTATGTCCATTTCGTAGATGTTTTGTCTAACACCCTGGTTTAACTTATCCAAGTCTGTCCCAAGATCTACATCTTTGCCCTCACCAAGGATCATCTTTCCCCAAATCACCCCATTCAGCTCTGATCCCCAGGTTGATGAATACGGTGAGAATTTGCCTTGAGCTCTCAAATTGATACACGTTATACTAATATAAATTTGTAATCAACTTGAAACAATTTTCTTTCACGAATTTCCAAAGTTATTGTACCGTACTATGAAAAATTTTATTGATTTGATGGCTGTCAGTTTTTTTTAAGACGTCCTAACTCGTTCGTCTTGCTGCCTGAGCACCAATGTGTCTCGCTGACAATCAAATGAAGAACGTTTGGGCTCATACCTGTCCCGTTGTGTGATACTTCCGAACAAGATTGAACCTTGGATTGTGGCTGAGAACTGGGGATAAATATGAAGCTCTGACCTCACCTCGTAACCGCCTGAGAGAGAAGTCCTGGTCCTGGGAGTCCACCTGGACACTGAGCGGGGACAGGTGCCATTCTGCAACACTGATAATATGTCTCATGGGTACACTTACAAGCACACTTGCACAGAAAAGTTTATCCTGAGGTCAGTCCCTGTTCAAATGATAGCGGGATAAACTCTGATCCGTGGTGAATGTTCCCGCTGACAGTTTAATGAGAAGGAACCATTAGATATTAACGGCGTTTGATTTTATTTCACATCTGTCTGCGATACGATCATAAGATCATAAGAAAATGGGAGTTTCCTGAACCAAAGATGACGGAAATCCATCTCCTTTGCCTTCCAACCTTCTTGCAGTCGCTTGGCATGACTAGTCCCAAACTTTCTAATGTATCTGTTTAATATGTGTTTCTCTCTGTCCGCGTGTATGTAACTGGGACAACCCGTGGCATGGAGGGCGCTATACAATTTCTTTTTCTTGTTGTTGTTTGCGACTGTGTTCGTATCTGTGCGCGTTTGAGTGTTCTGTGAATGTGTTTATGTGTGTCTGTTTGAGTATGTGCCTGTGCGTTTCATTCCCTCTTTATATACTTGGGTGTGTTTGTGAGTGTTTGTCTTTCTGTGTTTGTAATTCTGTGTTTCTGTGCTGTTGTGTGTGTGAGTCGGTGTTTGTGTGTGTGTTTGTGGGGAAGTCTGTATACATATATTTGTTTCACAATATTCTGCACAATGATGTGTATCAAAAATGGAAGTGATTTTCTCCTTGAGTCCTGGCTGGCAACAACATCAATAAAAATTGGACACATATTTCACTGCAATTTGACATCCACAATCATTTGCAGAATTCACTGTCTCGATACTCTGCAAAAGTAGTGTCCAAATGGCGGCACGCGGGCCGCATGTGTCCCGGTGGTGAATTTTTTTGGCTGGATACCATTTGCAACCTTCTTCCTACCGCTCCCTCCCTATTGAACGTCCTCGTGTGGCAGCAGCAGGACCCGACGGTTGGGAGGCCTCAGTGTGGAGAGTGGAATAATACCGGCCATTGCTGCAGTAGGTCAGGAAGGCGAGCATTTCTCTAATCAATCACACCCTTAGCCACCGCCAACTCCTCCATCAGCAGATAGTGATTGCGCGGCTGATAACAGCAATACCATACTCCAGCATTGCTGGGGTCAACAAACTTATAGAGTCGAATTGAACTGCCAAACTTTAGAATAACAAGAG